TGAAGAAGCCGAGGTCATCGTCTGCGACGACCTCGGGGTCCAAAAAATCTGATGTTCCTTGGGCTCCCCAGATTACTTTGGAAGATAGGCCCATAATGACCAATGAAAGCGTCGATGACATAAATGTCGGCGTTGCCCTTACTACGGCGCTGCTCCTTCCTGGTGATTTGGAGCGGAATGCCGGGTATAGTGAATATGAGAACTATGCCCTAATGCTCCAGCACTCTGTTCAAGTAAGTGTTCATACTTGGTACTTTTTCTTCCATTCTGTTTTGCACTTAAAAATATTTTCTAACACTTCTGTTTTCTTTCAGGCCATCCAGCATGCCCACTCATTTTCAATGCAATCTTTCCAGAATTGAGAGAAGCTGGTCGACCTGAGGAGGGAGGTTTCTGCCCTCAAAAAGGAGAACAAAAATCTTCTTTCAAAAATGAAAAAGCTGGAAGACCAGGCTGAGGCTGCCACCAAAACCCAAACCTTAGCCGAGGAAAATGCTGAATCTGCTGAGGCCATCAAGACAGTTGCTGAATCCCAAAAGAAAGAGGCCGAGGCGAGAGCGGCCCAGGCCGAGAAGGAACTTCAGGAAGCCTCGGCCACAAAGGAAGCCGAAATCAAAAAGGCTGATAAGAAGGCATATGCTCAGGGCGTGGCCAACGTCACTAAGGATTACAAGCTTCAAGTCAGGCAGGCATGCAACAGGGGATTTTCCCTTGGCTGGATGTCCCTGATAAAAAAACTTGATCTCCCTGTTAACTCGTCTTTCCGTAATGCCGAAGCTATTCCTCTCCCATTTCCTCCTCTTCCACTTCCAAGTCAGGCCGAAGAAGAATCTGAGTCTGAGTCTGAAGCCGAGGATGAGGATAACAATGATAATGAGGCCTTGGTGAGGAAATCCAAGGATGCTGCTGAAGCCAAAACCCATCCTCCAACTGAGCAAGTCATGGACTTAACCTTGGATGAAGAGGGTGATGAGGTTGGGAAGGCGCCCAAGGAAGCTGTTACAGGGCAATTATCATCCGACCTTCTCTTAGCTGAAAGAAGTCTTGACAAAATGCTTGCAGAGATTGATGCCGAGCTGGCTGCAGAGAAGGCTGCCGAAGTAGTTCCCCAAGAATCGGCCGAGGTCCAGACCCAAATCGCTCTTGAAACTGAGGAATCATAACTTTGGATGTCTTCCGTACTCTTTTTGTTTCTTTGGATAATATAAGCTTTTCTGTACTTCTGGTTTTTAAAACAACGTAAGTTCTTCTAGTTAGCTGATGTATCTTCTGCTTCTGTTGAGCTGGCTGCAGAGAAGGCTGCCGAAGTAGTTCCCCAGGAATCGGCCGAGGTCCAAACCCAAATCGCTCCTGAAACTGAGGAATCATAACTTTGGATGTCTTCCGTACTCTTTTTGTTTCTTTGGATAATATAAGCTTTTCTGTACTTCTGGTTTTTAAAACAACGTAAGCTCTTCTAGTTAGCTGATGTACCTTCTGCTTCTGTTGAATACAACTTTATTTCTGGTTGGCCGTAGTGCCTTCTTTGTATACAATTGCAACTGTTTTCATCTGAATGCTTTAATCTTTAAGTTCTCTTAATTGCGTCTGTCTGATTCTATACTTGGAATATTTTGCATGCCTTTCCATTTTGCCTCCTTTGTGCAATCTTATCGGGTTTACGTACCTCGGGTACAATAACTACAAGCTTTACTTTGGCAAGATACTGTCCTGCAAACTTTTCATAAATTTCAACAGGTGTAAAACATACACTATTCAATGTCAACTTTGCAAACTTTTTCTTAAGTTTTAACAAGTATTTTCAACAAGTAATTTGCAAACAGTGATCTTGGTCTAACCTACTTGTAAATTGCTACAAATTTCAACAAGTGTTAACATATACTGTAAATTTTTCTTAAGTTATGACAATGATCTACTTGGAAATTGCTACAAATTTCAACAAGTGTTTAAACAATATACTTAGCTTTTACCTCAACCTGTAGATTGCTGCAAATTTCAACAGATGATTACATGTCGGCTTAACGTTATCTTGTAAATTGCTACAAATTTTAACAAGTGAAGAAAAACAGTAATCTCGGCTTTACTTCAACTTGTAAATTGCTACAAATTTCAACAAGTGAAGATAAGGATAATCTTTAATTCCAACTTGTAAATTGATACA